GAAACAGGAAGCACCTGAGAAGCCATGAGAAAAATGTCCTTGTGCCAAACCAAAGACCAATTTTTTTAAGAATCCAAAAGCTCAAGACATTTTGGAAAGGTGCCCACACATTTAGAGGGCTTCCTCAACCAAACCAAGCTTCCAACATTCTAAAGAGAGCACAGCTGGCCCTCATGGCAACCCCACAGCAAGGCCACAATTACAGAACAATGGGTGGTCTTGCTGAGCACTTTCACCTGAGTTTTCTCATGAGCGCTTCCCAATAACCCAAAGAGGCAGATACAGGGGAAGTACTCCAGCGTCCACTCCCACTGAGGGGCCAAGTCACTGGTCTGAGGCCACAGAGGCAGGAGTGTGGCAGAGCCCACCTCAACCAAGCTTCCCATGGCCCCTTTCACCATCTTACCACTGGTTTATAGGAATTGCATCCAGAGGCAGTTGTCCCCTCCTCCCCTGTCCTGGGTTCACCACCATGACCAACAGTGGTTTTCCACCACCCCTCTCTCCCATGGCCTCAACAGCCTGCAGACTTTAAGCAGGTTTCAGTTTCTTCTGCTGTAAAATGAAATAACCCTGCCTTAATGCCACCAAGCACCTGGATGCAGTTTGAGCCCATGGGGAGAGGTACCAACAGTTTCCATACTGGCAGGGAATTCTCTCCCCACACAGCCCTCCTGCTTTTAAAATACCATGTTTCCTCTCTCTTTTCCCCTGTAGACAGGGAGCTTCTTGATAGCGGCAACTGTGACACTTGGGTTTTGTCTATCTGGTACCTAACAAGTACGTAAGAGTAAGTGGACTCTATTCCCGGTACAAAGTCGGTCACCCCAAGTGATTAACACACACTTGCTCAGCATGTAGTATATTATCATATAACATGTTATATTATTATATATATGTTTAGTATATAGTATATTAGCATATATATGTATGTGCCAAAGTTCTAAGAACTTAGAAGTATTAATTCAGTCTTCTTCACAACCCCTTGAGGTAGGTAAAGCACAGAGAAGATAAATAACTCCTCTGAGACCACACTACTAATAATGGGAAGTGACCTGAGCTCAGAGCCAGGACTTGAATTCTGGCAGTCTCGGTCCAGAGTCTGTGTTTTAGCCACCATGCTACTTTGTCACTCCATTGTGCGGCATACGAGTAACAGACTGGAAAGAAAATTTCGGGCTTGGACAAACCACACCACCTCTCTGGACCTCACTAAAGATAGGAGGCTGGTCTAGGTGATGTCTGACAGGTCCTGTCAAACTCCATAATCCTTCTGTTGTCCTTAATCACAATGTGATCCCCCATTTGGAATGAAGACCTTGCATCACTGAGTTTTTCCACATTAAGAGAAAATAATGGTTGCCTGAAAAGCCAAAGTAGATTTAGTTTAGACCACAAAACAGGGTGCTGGAGATTCCTAAAGCCAACAGAGCACAGGCAAAAACTCTCTAGCTGTGGCCTGCCTCTCCCCACCCCGACTTCTGTCAGTCCTGTCTTCTAGAGAAGTCTGAGCATTTGCTGCCTCTCTCCTCTTACAGAGCCAAGAACTACAGAAATGTGTTGCTTCATCTCTCATTTTTCTAAGGAACTTCTCTTATACCCCAATACTCCACATGCCAGCCCTACCCCTTACTCCACCCTGGGTCAATGAATGAGTTAGCAGATAAAATTGTATATGCCCATGGGGAAAGAGGATTGGGAAGGGGCATAACCATTGTCCTTACCTCTTCATTGGCTCCATTTGGCCATCATGAAGTCCAAGAACAAACAAAGTAAAGCATGATCTAGGAGGCCTGAGTCCATCCCACAGCCACTGCGGCATGAGAAATCTAGGTTCTGGAGACCAGCCCTATACCAGTCAGCTATTACTGCATTAACAACCACAAAATCTCCATAGCAACAATAATGAACATTTATTACTCCCTGATCCAACTACAGACTATCTGGGGTTAGCTGATCTAGTCAGGGTCTGGCTGCAGGTTCAGTTCAGATCTGTCCTGTGATCAGAGAGCTATGTGGGACATGCTGCACGGCCAGAAGCTGCCAAAGGGGTGAGGAGAAACACTGGATGCCTGGTAAGGTGTCGGCTTGGGCTCACACATTCTCATGTGAATGAAAGCACAAGGAGCAGACTTGAACAGAACCTGCCACCTGGCTGCTGCTGCTCCCATGAGCTTGCACGGCCCTGCCAGGCATCACATCAGAACCACCAGTGGAGAGGAAGGAGAAAACAGGCAGAGCCTGATTTGAGAGCACTGACATCCAAAACAGTCACATTCCCCTCACCTCGTGATTACATCTTTGAGATGGTTCAAACAGTCACCCTTTCTTGTTTTGTGAGGGTTGCTGACTGGCTTTTATTTAATTCTCATTTAAGTTAAAAACTCCAAAGCGCAAACTAGCATAAATTACCATTAACTACCAGGACACAAAATGGTTTGCTGAGTCAAACAAATGTCAAATTCAAAAGCCAGCTCTACCACGTACTGTTTGAGGGACCGTGGGCAATTTACTTGCTGAGTCTCAGCTTCCTCCTCTGCAACAAGAGAATGGCAACACAGAAGCCAGCCCACCCTCTCCCCCGCAACCCTTCCCCATTTCTGTGATGCAGCCGGACTGCCAACGGCCACCCACTCCCATCCCTGTGCTGGGGGCTTTTCCAGCCCACACAGAGCAAGACAGGATGCCAGGTAATGAAGACCCTCACCCCTAAGGCAAGATAACTCTTGTGTGTGCATTCCACACTGGACTCCAGCAGTCCCCACAGAGACTGTGCCTCAGTGGCCCATGGTGATAACTTGCTGGGTAGCACATCCTAATGTGCTGCTTTCCCTTGCCCTCCTCACTTCTCTACTCCCACACTGGTGTCTTCTAGAATAACTTCCCAAATAAACTACTTGTAGTCAAAGTCAAGTGGGGGGAAAAAAACTATTTATCAGGGGATCTGTGAAGATTAAATGATATAAGTAAAGTCTCCAGACCAACACCAGCTTACTGATGACCCCACAACTGCTTAATTAAAAAAAATACTGAGAACCAGGTGCAGAGGCTATAACACCTATAATTCCAACACTTTGGGAGGCCGAGGCAGCAGGGTTGCTTGTTCCCAGGAGTTTGAGACCAGCCTGGGCAACATAACAAAACTTCGTTTCTAACAAAACAAATTTTTTTAATTAGCCGGGTGTAGTGGCACATGCCTATAGTCCCAGCTACTTGGGATGCTGAGATGGATCACCTGAGCCCAGGAGGTTGCGGCTGCCGTGAGCCATGATCATTATGATCGTGTCACTGCACTCCAGCCTGGGCGGCAGAGTGAGACCCTCACTCAAAAATGATAATGATAATAATAATAATCAGCCATGATAAACACATGTACACATGGACATTTGGCTCCACCTCCCTCTTCAGAGGACTGCCCATTCAGAGGACTCCCTCTTCAGAGGACTGCAAAAGCTTATGAGGTATGCAGAGGGATCATCAGGGTCAGCAATGTGTCCCTAGGTCACAACATGTCATCTGGGAAAATGACGGCAATGATCCCATCATATAACTAGTGTGGGTTCAATAATCACCACCTCTGTCACCCCCACTGAGTCCCTCACTTCCTCCCAGCCTGCTGAGCTATCCAACCAGCTGTCCCAGGGGCTCTTCCCTTTTCTTCCTGGGGTAAAAGGAAGAATAGGCTAGGGCAGTGGGAACAGTCTTGACACGTTATTTGTATATCTGAAACTAACTATCCTTCCTGTCTTGATTGATTATATTTTTATCTATTTTTAAGATGAGGCTTGTTTTTCTTCTGTCTGGGACGATACAGATATAAATAGGGCCAGAGCTTGACTTCCCTACATGACCCAGCCATAGCTGATCAAATGCTGATACAGAAAAGAAAGAAAAAAAATGAAAAAAAGCTCACTCTCACAGAAGGAGAGGGTATATGCTTCCTGCAGGACCCTGCTGGTTCTCTCCTGTGGAGCCACTTTACAGAGCATCCTGCTCGGGACACCTGAGTCCCCAGAAGGGCCCTGGAAGGTCCTAGTGTCCAGACAGCATTTCTCAGAGCCCTCTTTGGTGGCCACAAAATTTGAAACCTGGGAAAACTCAGGGAGGCCCAAAGACACCGTGGGCACAAGCCAGTGAGACTTTTGTCCAAACACATAAGTTAGGGGGAAAGAATTAAGCAATAAACAGTCCAGCATTCAGACAGGGAGCAGATTCCAGCTCACTCAAAATTAGGCTAAGAAAACCTGAGAGCACAAGCTATCAACTGAAGAAATTTACAGTATTTTCCAAATGCTGAAAGCTCAGATTCAACTGGACTAAATAATGATCAACTCAATTGTCCTGGATGCCCAGGCATTGAAGGTTCTGAGCAGGAAGCCTGAGACATACGTTGTCATTCCAAGATTACAAATGCCCGTTGGTGAGGAGCTCTTAAAGGGATGCAGTTCTCCAGCATCTGCCTGGGCTCCTGAACCACTTGAGAAGGAGAGTCAGACCTTGGGTGTCAGAAATGTTGAGAGTTTGGGGGTGCTAAGTTTCTGTCCAGCTGCTGCCTTTCAAACCCTGGGTCTTCTCTTCCTCCGTCTCAGCACATTGGTCCACAGTGCGGCCAGGAGCTGTGTGGGAGCCTAATGCCTGACTGGGAGGTACATGCGGCCGTAGAGATCATCTGGGCCAAGCCCTGCACTTTCAGACGAGAAAACTGAGGTCCAGAGAGAGAAAGTAAGTTTCCCAAGGCCACCCAGCATCTGACAGCGGCAGGAAGCCAAGGGCTTTGCCTGATCACTTGGCTGAGACTTGGTGAATTTCAGACTCTGAGACTTCATAAAGCTAGGTCAGCACTGTGGGCTCTGTGGCAGAGGCCATCTGGGGCAAACAGTGCTGCTCCCTAGTCAGCATGTGGAAAGCTAGGGGGGATGTTCAGGTGGTAGTGTAGAGAGAGGTGAGTGTTGAGAGCATGAGGCAGGTGGGGGCCGAGGGAGGAATCGATTCATGCTTACCTTCATAGCAAGGGATCAGCGTCCTGCCTTTGGCCTGGAGGTTGGACGGGATGATGTAGCAGAATCCATGGGGCAGGATGTGATCTGTTTCATAGTAGATGTTCTTCCAGCGATGGGCACAGGCCTAATGGGACAGAGAGAGATTGAGAGCAGGAAAGTCGGCCCCAAAAAGGTCACAAAGCAGAGCACTAGTAGTGCCAGGAGGTTCTTTCTATGGGAAGAGAGAGAAGCAGAGGGGCCAGGAAGCCACACCTTCATACCAGGCACTGTTCCAGGCATCAGAAAACTGCAAGAACAAGAATGAGCCCCTGGGAATTTAGTGTGAGAAGACAGGCAATCAACAATCACAACAACACATGAGGATTGTAGCTAATGCTGAGCACTGGGAAGGAATGAAACAGTGTGACAGAATAGAGAATCTGGGAGGAGGAAGGACAATTTCCACCAGAGGTCAGGGAAGGCCTAAAGCTTACCATGAGCATGTGGGAAGAGAGTCAGGAGGATGGAATATCAGGTGCAAAGGACGCAAAGTGGGAAAGGCTCAGAGGTTCAAGAGAAAGAAAGGAGCCTGGTGGGGCCGGTCTGGAGTGACTCTGGTGAGAGGGAAGTAAGGTCAGACAGGGGCCAGGGGTCAGGCCACAGGGGACAATGGAAACGACTGTGACTTCGGCAGACATGCCACAGGAAGCTGGTGGAGAGTCTTGCGCAGGTGAGAGGTATGATTCGACGTTCGGTCTGGAAAAATAGTCCGGCTGCCATATGGAGACTGCAGGTGGGCAAGACTGCAAATGCACATCTAGGTGGAAGATGAGGCTGGCCTGGGCCAGGAGAGGGCAGAGGTGATGGGCAAAGGGGGTGGCTTCGGGATACACGCTGGAGGTAGAACTAACAGCCTCCAGAACGGCCAGATGTGGGGAGTACAGGAAGAAGGGTCAGTATGCAACTGTGTTTTCATCTACAGAAACACTGCAGTGTACATCTCGTTATCTAGAAGTAAATGTGTATAGATTTTTTTATATGTAAATTTTCACGCAGCAAGATGCACAGTTCTCACACGTACCACTGAATGAGCTTTGACAAATGTGCATACACATGGCATCAAGCCCCTAGCAAAACACAGAATATTTCCATCTCACCAGAACGTTCCCTGGTGCCAGGGAGTAGCTGGTTTTGACAGGCCAGTCAGGGAAAGCCTCTCTGAGGAAAGCCTTTAGGAAGTGAGGGAGTGGCTGGAGGGAGACCTGAGGGGCAGTTCGCATAGAGGAAGGGTTCTGGGGTGGGTGAGAGTTTGTCGTGTGTGAGGAGAAGAGGCTGCCAGGATGGACAAACCCTTTGCCCAGCTTTTGAGAGCGGCTGTGTCTGCCAGCATCTGTTGGCAGAACTGCCCTGCCTCACAGCCATCTCCACACCATTTCTATAAGTTACAACACTCAGCGTTTTTAGTCTACCTTTGACCTCTTCTGCAATCCTAGAAAGAAAACAGAGGCATTCTTAAAATTCGCATTTTCTGCATGAGAATGCCAAGTATCAGAGGAGGATGCTTTGCCTACATGGCAGATCTTAAACAGGACTGAAATCCATGGATCCTGAGTCTTCCTTATCTCTCTATAAAGCATTTTCCATCTTAAAACTTCTAATTCCTGCCTAAGAAACCATCAAAGCCCACCCCTTGGGACAGGCCTGGTAGCTATTTACTGTCCTTATAGTGCTTCCCACAGGTCCTAGGACACCAGAAATAACCACTCTGGGGTGGAAAGGATGCCCAAGGTCACCGAGTGGGTGAGTGGGCTCTCAGGCCCGTTTCCCCCTGAGGTCATTCTACAATATGATCACTGCCTCCTAAGCTCTCTGTTCTTTATCCTTCAAGCCAACTGCCACCAGGGCCTACTCAAGGCCACTCTCTGCTCAAAAGCAAAAGCGGACATGCTCAGAAAGACTCGAAACCTGAGCTTGCCCACACTCTGTCTCTTGTCCTATGACATTAAACTGCAGGAAACAATCTATTGTTATTCCTTCTACTGCAAACCATCTTCATTCCTTCCACTTGATATAGTTTTATGCTAACATCAGGTTTCTGAATAGACTGAAATGCTCTGGAGCAAGGAACTATTAAAATATGTCACTAAGCAGATAATCACCCCATACTGCAAAGTAACTGGTAATTTTTTAATAAGTTCTGATTCAATTCTGATGACTTACAAACTTGAATCACTTACTATCATTATTACTTACTACTTACAATCATCATGTTAGTTACATTTTACTTTCTGGACTCAGCAAAGCCCTTGGCTTCAAGGGCTGACCATATTTTTTCATATTTCTGGATTGGAGGAAGTTTTGTAAAAAGAGGTGGATATTTGTCACAGTGCTGTCTGACTGCCAGCTGCATGCTGATGTTTAGAAGGAAGGCCTTGCTGCATTTAATGTCTAGCTTGTCTCCTAATTTTCTAAGTGCCATGAACTCTTTAAGGGGTGATCCAGAAGAATTCCTAGAAAATCCAAATATTGCACTTCACACAAAACTAAACTAGAATTAAAGCATTCTGGGAAGTCAGAGGTCAGGGTGCCAAAGGCAGAAATCATGTAGGAAAATAATGAAAAGTGTCTCTGAATATAAATTATAGAAAGAAAAGACTGTGTTTAGCCCTGATTACCACTGTATATACAAATATGTCAATCTGATCCCTACTTAAAAAAAACAATTCCTAGACTCAGTCTCCAAAGCACTAGTATCTCCATCAATCTCTCCAAATGAGTTCTGCTGTGAGGCAGGGGTGGAAGCAGAGCAAGAAAGAAGACAGAAGGAAAGCATTCTCTGGAAACAGCAAGACTCACTCAAACTCAGGTTTCAAACAATCACATAAAAAGGGGGCAGAGGAGCCTAGCAGTACCCCACATCTTAAAATCTGACATATTTCTTTTTTTTTTGATTTGGAGTCTCACTCTGTCACCCAGACTGGAGTGCAGTGGCCGCTCCTGGCCACCACAGCCTCGACCTGCTGGGCTCCGGTGATCCTTCTGCCTCAGCCTTCCAAGTAGCTGGAACTACAGGCGCGTGCTACCACGCCCGGCTAATTTTTTGATTTATTGTAGAGATGAGGTCTCACCAAGTTGCCTAGGTGGGTCTCAAACCCGCGGGCTCAGGCAATTCACTCACCTCAGCCTCCCAAGGCACGGGTTACAGGCTGAGCCACCAAGCCCGGCTATAATCTGACATATTTCAAGTTATACAGATTGTTTTTCCTCCCAAAGGAAGAAAAGAGGAAAGAAAATGAACAGTTTATTTCAAAGGCCTTTGTCGTAGTATGGAAACCACATCCTTTGGGGGGAGGTGCAGCATTCCCAGTCACTCCAGGTAGATCAGCCACGAAGGCCTGTGAGCCTCCAGCCCACCCCTGCTGCTGCCCACGCACCTGCCATATAGAGATTGCCAAAGCCTTTATCATGCTTCCAGGCCAACGGCGCACAGTTACGGCCAAGGCTGGGCTGCTGAGAACAGTGCATGGTAGGGAGCAAGATGAGAATGTGCTGGGACGCCACAAGACTCCCCCAAAGAAGCTCCCTGACCAAGGGAGGAGGGAGTGGCCAGGGAAGCACCGGAAAGAAGCATCTGGGTGCTGGGAATGTTGTTCTGAGGATGTTCACCTCACAAAAATTCACTGGTGTGTACACTGATGTTTGTGCACTGTTCTGCATGTGTGTTATACCTCAATGAAAAGCTCACTTAAAAACATCAGGAGGCTGGACTCAGTGGCTCAGCCTGTAATCCCAGCACTTCGGGAGGCCAAGGTGAGTGGACTGCCTGAGCCTGTAGGTTCGAGACTAGCCTGGACAACTTAGCAAGTCCTCATCTCTACAATAAATCAAAAATTAGTCGGACATGGTAGCACGTGCCTGTAGTTCCAGCTACTTGGAAGGCTGAGGTGAAAGGATCGTTAGAGCTCAGTAGGTCAACGCTGGAGTGGCTGTGAGTGTGCCACTGCCCTCCAACCTGGGCTACAGAGTGAGACTCCAACTCAAAAAAAAAAAAAAAAAAAATCAGGAAGCAGAGCAACAGAGCAAATGCAAAAATGTACTCTGTGGCTTTGAAAACAATGGATATACAGGAAATGGTGAACAGATAGGAACGGCCTTGATGTTTAGAAAGAAAATGACAGTGAGATAGAATGAAAGAACACTGCTTCCACCCAGAAAGAACCTAGAAGATGAAATCATATATTGTCTGAGCCTTGGCAACTCTAGTGAAAAGCAGAGATATCACACTTGAACACTCTTGAGTTGACCTCCAAGGTCTGAGGGAAGCAGTTAGTGCCTATGCTAGTTTTTCAGTGGTTATTTTGAGAAGTGATTTTTTTCTCCCTATTTCTTAAAATGCCGTCTGCACACTGGGAGTTCAGGGTGAGAGCGTGGGAAGGGAAGGGGCTTGCTTCTAATCTTGACACTATGTATACACTCTGTATCATTTGTTCTCTGGAGAAAATCTGGAAGGTACCACCATGCCCATGAAAGAGGCTGGCAGACACTGATCCAAGGTCAACCTGCCAGGCTAGCCTGACAGCCTGGCTCTTGCCAGAGCTGGTCGTTGGGTCCATGGTCCAGATAATGCAATTTTCACTGAGATACTTCACTCCCTGTCAGAGCTTTTGAATTCTCCATCTGTTCTTTGCATTGAAATCAGCACCAGATGCCACTTTCAAAAAAGTCACCCCACTGCTCCCTTTTCAAGCCTAACCTTCGAATCCAATATTACACTCCTTGGAGACAAGGGTCTCATGCCTACAGTCCCAGGAATCTCCTAAGTTCTTAAAATGTGTCTGGGCAACACACATCCTTCCTATTTTAATTTAAAAATAAATACTTCCCTCCCAGAAACCTCTGACAGGCAGAATTGAGACATTAAGGGAAAAGGAAACGAATCTGGGGCCTCCAAAATGTAAATACGGCTTTGCTCTACCTTGTTTTTGCCTGTCATTTCCAAGGGACATTTTACCGCATTTTGCTGGTTCTGCCATCTACCACTTAGAATCAGCCACAAAGGAAAGATGGCAACAAACTTGGCTTCTAATTATTTTAACATTGACAGTCGGTCCCTATATTATTCAAGCATACTTTCAGACACCATTC